AAATTATCTTTGATATTTTAAGTTGAAGCCAATAAATAATGTTAACATGTAAGGTATAAATTTAGGGGCAAATTTTATTTAAGTATAGTATGAGACTTTTTTCCTCAATAAACTGTAATAAAAGGTAAAAATCATTTAACTTTTATTATAATTTCAGCCCTAATCCTCTTCATTAGCTGCGTCTGAAATGTTTTCTAAAGTTAAAGCTTCAGGTTTCTGTTCTTTGTCTTCTTCGTTATTTTAATAGCGGTTGATTAGAACCTCCAGGTGCTTTGCTGCCACCTGCTGGTCAGGAGTTTGATCCGGATTAACAGAGCAGAAGAATTGAAACTGCTTCTGTGTGTTTGGTTCTGGTCGTAGATCGGACCCAGATTCTGAGCGGTACCACCCGCCTCTCTAACAGCACCGTGTTCTGTTCTCCTGCAGGGCAGCCGTCTGACTCCAGGCGTTCTCTACGTGGCTCATCTTCCTCACGGCCTCTTCGAGCCGCAGCTCAGGTCCTACTTCGAACAGTTTGGGAAAGTCCTGCGACTCCGACTCTCCAGGAGCAAAAAGGTAACGGATCCGTGGGTCAGAAGATGTTCTGATGACGTTCCTCTCTGCTTCTTGGCTCACACTGAAAGTGGCCTCAGGTTCTAACGGTGTCCTGAGGTCAGATGATTGGGCCGACAGAACTCTGGTACATGAAGCTCATCTGCTGCTCCGTCTGTGGCAGCCTGATGAAACCCAGGTACCGACAGCAGCGCTCCTCTGGGGGCCGGGTGGTTCCTGATCCCCGGTTCTATGGGGTTCCTCTGGGGTTCCGTATGCTCTGCACGGCGGGCTTCAGGTGGGGAACATCAGGTGGACCTGGGTGGAACCGCTGCAGCCACCGGTGCAGAGCTTGTTCAGCTTCAGCAGAGAATGTTCTGGGCCACTATAGCCCCATTTCCACTAACCTTTGAAACCTCGACGTCTGGAATCCCCGATCAGACGATCGTTTGTCGTTTCTACTCCCCAAAAACCGACTCTGTCAAGTAAATTCACCAACGGCGGCCTTCTTCGCCTGATTCTCCGCTAACTTCCGGAATGTTACGGGCGCCGCCATGTTGGTTTGCTTGTTTACCTCTAGAGAGCAGTAGTACCGTAGATCGCCACTAGGAGGCGAGGAACCGAGGTCGGCACAGATCGGTTTCAGAGGGTAGAGGAAATGGGGCCACTGAGATCTGAATCCAGATGTTCTCTGAACAAACTGGGTCATAAATCAGAACCTGGGACCGTCGGGCCTGAGCTCAGAGCTGCTGTGCTTCTGGAGGTCTCTGGTAACCATGGAAACATGTCTGAAGGCTGACCTGTGGTTCTTCGTCCTGCAGACAGGGGGCAGCAAAGGCTACGCCTTCGTGGAGTTCGAGTGTGACGAAGTCGCCAAGATCGTCGCGGAGACCATGAACAACTACCTGATGGGAGAGAGGCTGATCAAATGTGAGCAGAGCGGCCCAGAACCACATGGGCCCGGACCCGGTTCGGCCCGGTCCTGGACCCGGTTCTGCCCGGTCCTGGACCCGGTTCTGCCCGGTCCTGGACCCGGTTCTGCCCAGTCCTGGACCCGGCCCGGCTCAATCCTGGACCCGGTTCTGCCCGGTCCTGGACCCGGTTCTGCCCAGTCCTGGACCCGGCCCGGCTCAATCCTGGACCCGGTTCTGCCCGGTCCTGGACCCGGCCCGGCGCTCCTGACCCGCCTGCTGTGCTCCTGTTTTCCAGGTCAGCTCCTCCCCCCAGAGAAGGTCCATGAGAAGCTGTTTGTCGGCTCCCAGCGGATGTTCCGGCGCCCGTGCGACCCGGCGGCGGCGCGCTACAACAGGAAGCGCTCGGCGGAGCAGCTGGCCCAGATGACCCGCCGCCTGCTGCGCAAAGAGTCCAAACTGCGGCGAAAGCTGGCGGAGCGCGGCGTCCACTACGACTTCCCGGGATTCGTAAGTCCTTCCTGGAATCCTCCTGAACTCGGAGCGGATCCGACCCACGGGTCTCTAACGTCTGCTTCCTGTTTGTCTCCAGGCGGCCCAGCTTCCTCAGAAGACCTCCAACGACGTCAATGTTTCTTCGTGCAGCGAGGTAAGAGCAGCCCGGGTTCTACGGGCCCGGTCTGAAAATGAGCCGTCCCGTTACCGTGGCGCCGGCTCAGATAACCGGGCCCAGAGCAAACAGCGGGGCGTTAAGCTTATGGCCCGACTCTCTGTGACGGCGCCGTAAAACCCACGCCCCCACATCAGCAGGTAAGCCAAGTGGGCGTGGCCTCTGACCCGCTGTGCTCTCTCCACAGGACGCCACGCCCGTCTGCACGCCGTCTTTCCTGGAGAGGAGGAAATCCACCATAGTCATCGAAGACGACGACGACGAGGAGATCGTCATCAACATGCCTGCTGTGAAGGACGACGACGACGATGATGATGATGATGAAGACTGCTTCGAGGTGGAGGGGAGTGATGAAGAGGAGGAAGATGATGATGAAGAGGAGGAGACCCAGTGAACGTCTTCAAGGTTCTGAAGACGAATTGGACAATGAGGGACAGTCGCAGCTCGGCCCGATTCCACAGAACAAACCAGAACTGCCGGGACTCCGGAACCGGGCCCACTGCGGGGGGGAGGGGGGGTGCGGCTGGATCGGAACCGGGCCCACTGTGGGGGGGGTCCAGCTGGATCAGAACCGGGCCCAGCAGCAGCGCGGTCCCGCTCCCGTTTCCGCTTTTATTATTACCCCAAATTTATTTCCACCATTGAAGAATTTCCCCAGGAGTCCAGCAGGGGGCGGTACCGGCCCGGAGGACATGAAGCCGGATGGCGCCGGTCGGTCCAGAACCGTCGATGGTTTGATCAGAACCTCTGAGTCCATCAGAACCCGTCCAAATGGACCAGAACCTTTAATGAAGAGGAAACAAACAGCAGCAGCAAAGTGTTTAACCTGCAGACTGAGGCTGATGTTAATAAAAGCCTTTTCACTCAACCTTTTCTTCCATTCTTTACTAAAACTATATTTTTATTTTTTTCAAAGTTGTAATTATTGAAGGTTTTCTTTCCCATTTCCTCTTTAGAAAATGTTGATTTGTCAAAGTAAACATTTTCGCTAAGATATTTTGATTTTGCATTTCTGACCAAACTATTACATCATTGGAGGCTGTGGAGAAATGAGCCGTCGCACCGACAAGAGACTTATAAAACGAGCTCAGAAATAAGTAAAAATGTCTTGAAGTTTATTTATCCTTGATTTGAATCGGTAAAAGAGATAATTTGCCAATAGAATTCATATTTTTACTCTTAAGATAATTTGATAAAATGCAGTTGAAATAAGACGATGTGTGTTTTTCTTTCCTGATGATGTCATCCTGATCTATCTCTATAGTTCTGCTGCTATAGGCTTAGACTGCTGGAGGACATAGGGACCCCTTTTTCATCATTTCCTCAGTAGCTTCATCTGTTTGGCTGTGACTCCATCCTGGAGAGAAAAAACTGAATCAATCTGACTGGATGATCTGGTTGATCTGGATCTATAAAGTGACCTGAGATGACATGATGTGAATTGGAGCTATAGAAATAAACTGAATTGTTTTCTTATTTTAAATCTAAATTGGCAAAATGTCTCTTTTTTTTCTCAATTCAAGAACAAATGCGCTTTAGATTTTTTCCAGTGTGTCCTTTAGACGTGCGGCGACCATGTTGGTTTTGAATTCGGGGCTACTAGCCGTGGGCTTTTTGTTTCTCTTTAGGAGACGTTTCTGTGTTTAATCAGTGATGGTCCTGGGAGGCTGTCACCATGGCAACCAGGACCTAATTTCTGTTGCAGCCCTCTGAGGCATTTTTAGTGTTATTTCAGTTTTTATTTCCTCTCTTTTATTAATCTTGTATTAACTTCTTCCCAGCTGTTTTATATTTTTGTGGAAATTTAAAGTAACAAGCTTTTTTTCCCCTGGTTTAACCTTTTGGTCCCACAGTAATCTGTTTGGTTCTTCATCTTCTCACATGTCCGCTCCTTCAAAGTTCACCAAATGTTTTTAAATAATTTGGAGAGAAGTCAAGCCTTCCAGAGTTAGATTCAGTGTTTCATACCTGCTCCTGTCATTTTCTTCAAGTCTTTTAGCTTTTAGTAAACAAATATCAATAATTGATCACATTTGGTAAACAAAGTATTTTTTTGGATATAATCCTAAAATGAGGAAAACTGGATCTAGAGCGACATCCTTTGAGACGATGTTCTACTCTATATTTTATTGCTCTGGAGTTTCCCTTCATTCCCAGAACCAATTAAATAACTAAACGTTTACAGCATATATCTGCTCTGTCAGGACTGTAGCGATTTAAATTGGTGTAATCTAAATTCACTTTAAGCGTGATTTAACGGGATTTCTAGTCCAGTGAAAGTTTTACCTCCAGCTCTAATTTCCAGGCTTCCGGTCCTTTGGGAAATTCAACAAAAAGTAGAATTCCGAAATCGCAACTTTACTTGTTCTATCTTTGCAAGCAGTTTCTTCTAGTTGGGATTTCGGTGGTTTGGAGAAATCTTTTATTTTTTTTTTTTGTCCTAATATAACTTCTGAGCTGAAGGTATTTAAAGAAGTATTTTCTATTTATATTAACTTTTTGCCTTAATTCCTCAAAAGACGTCATGTAAGCTGAATTTGCTTGATATAATAAAAACTATTTCACTGTCAGTTTTTTCTGTATCACCCACTGTATTAAAAAATAAATACAGAAATAAATAAATGCTCAATAACTAAATAAGCATAAGTTGACCTTCCAAGACAGAGCTCTGCCTCATTTACATAATGAGGCAGAAATATAAAAACAGGCAGAAATAAAAAGGGTAAAAAACTACAAAGGAACAATAAAACACAAAAATATATCATATATAAAAATACTTAAAAAAGTAATTAATATAGTTAAAGATTAAAACGGACAGTAAATAAGTTTATTATTACAAAGGCAAATAAATATAAATTCATAATTTATACATTTGTCTCACTATAATTTCCTTTCTACCTACATATTTGTGTTTACTGTATTTTTGGGGGCATTTAATTATATGCTTATTTATTTATAGAGCATTTATTTATTAGTGTATTTTTAAATATGGTAGAGCTGGTCCTCCATACTGTTTAACAGTTTTTATTTAAGAATAAATTCTTTACAGTCAGAACCATAAATGCGCTGTCACGTTTTGGCCACTAGAGGCCGCCAGAGACGTGGTTGCCGGGCAGCGGCGCTCCAAATGCCAACATCATCTCTGGACGGACTGCGCATGCGCACCACGATCCCCATTCTTGTCCTTCAGGCTCATTCCTGCTGGATTGTTGACAGAAAGGCAGAAACTGGAGAGATTGGAGGCCGCGCCTGACGCTTTGTTCCCGGACACGAAGCGCTGGATGTCCGGAGAGGCTCCGGCGGGTTATGGTGAGTGTCCAGGCGGATGATGAAGCTGCTCCTCTCGGCTTTTCTCTCCCAGGTTTTTCTTTTGTTGCTGCGAACTGACGTTTCATTCAAAGGTAGCTAGCTGCGGCCGGAAGCCCGCATACTGTCGACTGGGGGGGCTGTGCGGGGGTTCAGGTGTCTGCGGGACTGAGATCAAAGGCGGAGGGATTTCTGCGGGACCAGGACCAACAGGGAGGGGAGGGGGGAGGGCTGACAGCCCGCTAGCTGGAGCGGAGCTAGCGCCGCACAAAGGGGGGGTGGGGGGGAGTCCCGCACTGGACCACCGGGACCACACCTAGACCTCACCGGGTCAGTCTGGACTCCCCGCAGAGCTGCATCACGCAGAGCAGTCATTCCAGAACCACAATCATAGATCTGGCTGACATAGATCTGTTCACATCTGATACACCAAACCATCAGATAACAAAGATCTGCTCAGTCCAGATGAAAGTTCTGCAGAACCGACACCATCAGGGAGAAGATCCGGTTTCAGGGCTGATGTAGAACCACAGTCACAGGAGCTGAGGAGTTCTGGACCCGTCAGAACCGTCTGAGGACCTCCAACTGGACCAGACGGAACCGTCTGAGGA